GGTGTCCGTTAAGTCCGCGGGTCGCCAACACCAGCGGCTGCGGACCGTCGCCATCAGGATCGTTTTCTCTTATCTGTATCGCTTTCGTTCATTCGCCCTCTCCCGCTTTTTTATTCTGACTCCTTTTTGCTGCCAATCGTCCTCAGCCATCTATGTCGCGTCACCTTTGTTTTCATGCGAGAGTATAATATTCTCGATGTTTCTTTGTCGTTTGCTTTACTCTCTCTCTCTCTCTCTCTCTCTCTCTCTCTCTCTCTCTCTCTCTCTCTCTCTCTCTCTCTCTCTCTCTCTCGTTCTCCCGCATAATCTCTTCCTCTTGTTTTAATTCCCTTTTACTTTCTCCCTTATCTCTCTTTCTCATACGCTCACGCAACTTCTCCCTCCCCCAGCATTTCACTCCTGACCGCTATCTCTTCTTATAACAAACCTTCCCCTATTGCATGCACTGGAAAAACCGTATGCAAGCGCCTGCGCCTCGACTCTCATGCACGGGAGGAAGGAACTATCGATCGCTGTCCGACCCATTTTCAACGTGACCGAATTTCCCCGTTCAAATGATTTCCTGTCGAGTCATGAGTTTTTCCTCTATAATCCAGCAAGCATACTCAGTTTTCATTGTCATTCTCACTCGGTAATTAATTGCTGATGAGAAATGGAATAGATTCTGGTGATTTCAACGCCTCTAGATAATGATCCGGCTTCTACGGGGTCATCATAGTTATTGTTATTACTATGTATGCTAGCCTATTATCATTATCATTGTTGCGAGCAAAGAACCTTCTTTGTGGAGTCTTTTTGGTATTAATTAGGTATATCAATTTAGGAGTATATGAATTATGAATGTAAATAGATTTAATGAATGGATATGACAACAAGCAAAATGTTGCCTTCCTTAAAAATCAGCTCGAAACTTAAGAAATAAAGATGTAAATCTCATACTAAAATCTATCGTCACGATATCTTTTATTTATTTATTTTTCTTACAGCGAATTATTTGGACAGTTTCCCTTCATTCATTATTTATCATGTTTCTCTGCATTTTCCTCATTTGTAAACAATGAAAATGACCGCCAACTGAGCGCCTTGATATATCTTTGTCCGTAAGGAGTAAATATTTCTCCTCTTCGTTGCCACATGACCTGTTCATATGTGCAATTTAGAAACACAATTTCAAAGCGTTGAATTATATTTCCGGGGATAGAAAAATCTGTCTCTCACGGTAAGTCTGCTTTGCTTACAAAAATCAGCTGAAAGATGGAGTGAGGCCCATGTTATAAACCCGAAGGATGTTGCTTACTTTCTATGCTATTTCCCTTCTTTGACTCTTTCTTTAACCGTTTATCTGTTGTTTTTTCTTTCTTTCTTTCTTTCTTTCGTTAGAGGATTCCTTGCGTGTCACTCTTTTCTTCTCTTCTCCTTTAATTTCTCAACCGTACTGAAGGGCTCAATTAAAAAAGTCGAAAATCGATCGGTTCCAATCGGATTGGGACGTAACCCTAGCTAGCCAGGTAGATAGAAATAGATTGTCACATTATGTTTATTATTGATTATTATCATCAGGTTTCATCGTTATCATTATTATTTTTACCATAATTATTATTATTATCATTATTATTACCATTATTAAAGGCACCAGCCGTAGTAGTATCATTGTTACGGAGCATGGTGCTGATTTTAATTTTATTAGTATTATTGTCTTTATTATCATATTGATCATTATTATGATTATTGTTATTACATTATCGCCTGTATCATTCTAGTAATTACTTTCATTACAATCAATAATAGCAGCAGCACTAGTAATAGCTTGATCACGCTATTATTGTAGGTAATATTGTCATTATCATTTTGTTTCACCACTAGTACAACTAATCTCATTCTTCTTATGACTGATATATTTCTTAGTATTGCAGTTGTTATCATCAAAGTCATCATTCTCACCAGCATCATCATCATCATCATTTTTAGTGCTTCATTACTGCAGTTACTGTCGAAGACACTATAATTATGATTATTGCCATTTCTCTGTTTTACAATTATCGCTAGTATAGTTGATGATATTGATGGGAGGTATATGAATGTGTCAATATATATATATATATATATATATATATATATATATATATATATATATATATATATACCTAAGTACATAGCGATACGTACATGCACACTTAATTAATTCGATTGTGCATACTGTAAATACGTTAATGTCTTCATACCTACATATATATGTTTACATGGGTATATATATATATATATATATATATATATATATATATATATATATATATATATATATATATATGTAGTGTGTGTGTGTGTGTGTGTGTGTGTGTGTGTGTTTGTGAATATATGTGTATATAATATAAGATAAAAAAAAATATATATATATATATATATATATATATATATATATATATATATATATATATATGTGTGTGTGTGTGTGTGTGTGTGTGTGTGTGTGTGTGTGTGTGTGTGTGTGTGTGTACATAAATAGATATACATATTCGTACATATACATGAGATGCACATAACATATTAATACAGGTGTAGAGATAAGGTTTTGTTTTGTATTTTTCAGTTATTTTACATAACATTCGTGTATATTTATGACTGTAACGTGCATTGTATTCTTACTAATATATTTCACAATTTCCCTAATATCATTAATACTTGGGAAGTTGGAATCATAAATGAATTTCATATCTGTGAAGCCGCTGTGAATATACGAATTAGTCGAACTAAAAACAAAAATAGAAATAAGCAAAGAGAGAGAGAAGGGAGGGGGGAGAAGGAGAGGGAGGGAGAGAAAGAGAGTGGGAGGGAGAGAGAGAGAGGGAGAGAGAGCGAGAGAGGTGAAGGAGAAGACAGAGAGGGAGAGAGGGGGAGAAATAAAGAGAGAGAGAGAAAAGGTAGAGAGGAAGAGAAATAAAGAGAGAGATGGAGGGACTGGAAGAAAGGGAAAATAAAGAGAGAGAGACAGATGGATAGAGAGAGGGAGAGACCACCGATTAAATTTCAGGATAAGAGCGTAATTATGGGAGGAAGAGAAATAGCCCGCAGCCTCAGGAAAGCTGCCGTGTCATCGTCGCAACATCAACAAACAGCCAAGGGGCGTCAACGCTACTAATCAGCACCTCCAAGGTCTAGAAGTATTGGGACATGAAAATAAATTCCCGAAAAAATTGCATGTGATAAGTGCTTGTGGAGTCTCTGAGTACTGTGAATGTATGTTTTTTTCTCTCCCCTTCTGAGATTTCTTGTACAAGTCATTCGTCTTACCGTGAGTGAATAGTCATTGTAGCCACTTTTCGTGTCACTGAGATTTCTACGTTTCCCGAGATGATTGCCATTTCAGTGATGAATGATATAAAGGTAATAGATGTTCCACCTCTTTAATGCTTCCTGTTGTCTCACGCGAAAGACAAGCCAGAGAGAGAGGTGGGAAGAAATGAGAGCCAATAATAAACAGATAAAGTTAGTGTCAGAACGAAATATTGAACATATGAAAAATATGCGCCCGTGTATGAAAAAAGTATTAATGGGACAGCATTTACAAAAGTATGTAGACACGCGCATGTCGAAAATGTTAAAATGTGCGTGTATGCGTCAGTGTCTGTATGTTTACGTATGCGCTTCGGACTGAATAATAAGGACCGCCGCGGTGTACGGCAGTCCCGCCCGGGGGAATAACTACCCCAAGTTGTCTGACTGATTCTTCACGGCCTCCGCCCCCCTCTACGCCCGTGGATTGAGAATGATGGGCGTGTAATTCAGTGTTTTTCTGTTGCTTCCCACCGCTACCCGGAGGCAGAGGGGCGTGCGTGAGACTGGAGGTGCCTGTCGTGTACAGTTCTCTCACGCCCGCAGATCGCGCTCCGTAATTGATTTTTAAGCGGAGACGGGCTGGATGAGGTCCGTAGATGCAGGATTCCCTTGGAGGCCGCTCGGATGATGGGCGGCCTCGGGGCGGCCAGCGTGAGGCGGGGAACACTTGCCCGCAGCAAATGGGGCTTTTGCAAGCTAAGTATTCGAGTGTTTAGAAAGCCTCGCCTCGATTCCTGAACGCGAGATTGATTAGAATCTCTTCGAATGAACTGCTTTGACATAACGAATGATTTTTCAGAAAATGCTAATGATGTATACATGCATACGACATACATATAGATGTGTGAGAAAGTGTGTGCGTGTGTGTGTGTGCTCATATAAGTGCGTCTGTGCATATGTACATAGGAATGCGTGCGCGACTCGCCTTCTAGAGCAAAGCCCCGGCAAAGGACCAAACGGACACGGCCTGGTTTAGTCGGAGCAGGTCGGACACGTCACCTTTTCGCTGCGTCTGCTTTGTTCGGAGACGAGCACGCCAATCAGTCCGCCTCCTGTCTGCTCTTACAGTTTCGTCGACTGTGAAGCTCAAATTGAAATACGACGTTGTACTCATAAATCCAATGCACTTTGCAAAAAGTCGCAATTTGCGGTTTAGCCGTTGGCAAATCAAATTATGCTATCAACCATAGCGTAATATTGGCACATGTTCTAACGGCATATCATCCAAATCAAGGCGGCGTTGTGTCTCTAATCAAAAATCCCGGCGCGGCCTTTAACCTCAGTCCGTCTGTGGTTCATTCTCCTGTGAATCTCGAAGTGGTTTCCCTCGCACTGGCCGGCCGCCCCACCCTGCCACGGAGCCTCCTCGCTTGCTGTCTCTTCTCGCCTGGATTCTTGTGGTCTGCAGCCCCTTGACCTCGCTTCGGGATTTTTGCTTGGAGAACACTCAATTACAATTTAATTTGAAGATGAACTGTACTAAAATTTAATTTGCAAGTGTTAAGGTGCCTGAAGATTATTTTGTAAGGTTGCTCAGCAGGCGAGATTTCGCCCGGAGGTTTCGCACATCTGAACACCTGGAAGAATTTCTGTCGATTCTCAGACTTTGGGAACTCCATTTACATACTTGAAAGCTTTTGTATGTATGCTTTGTTTACCGAAGTTATGGCCGGCGGGAAGAATGCACACTTTACACTGGCTAATGTGGTAGTTATGTTTATCTCCCTGGAAGAAATAAGAGTATTATGACTTCAGAAGCTCCGGTATACCACTTGCATGGCAATAGCAATAATCACTGAATTATCTATTTGCTGCCATTCATTATTCAAGACGAATTCTTTAGTGCCGTCTGTAGCTACATTTACAACAACATGTATACCTCCGGAGCTCACTGCAATAAAGTCCTAAGCCAAATGCACGAAGAACTTTCATCGAATTTCGCACACCTGAGGGGGGGCTTCAGCGCCTGAGGTCGACGAGTTCGATTTCCGCGTAGCCGAAGCTGCTCCGAGGGCCACGGACGGTGGGATAAAGGTGCCGGAAGAGGACGGGCTAGGTCGCTTCGTCCGCCTTCCTTTCTCCTTTTCTGTCTTCTGTTTCCTTGATTGCAAGACTTGCCTTTTCTTTCCTTTCTCAGAGCCGGAAAAGGGATCGGTTTTGGTATTGCAGCTGCCCTCAGACATTTTAGTGAAAAACTCAGCGGTTTTTGTTACCTTTTCTGTAGAAATGTATTGGTAATGTAACTCTACGCCGTTGCACTGACACACACCTACGCGTGCACAGCCAGGGAAATCCTTTAGACACACTTGATAGCATGACAGTCAGAAAGCACGAGGAAGACTATAAATAATTTTAAATCATTAGGTTGATAGAGAAGTCTTTCTTCAGGCATCTCTGGTGTATTAGGGGAAGTTGTGGAGCTAGTTAGTTAGATTATTTACACTAGGCAGGGGTACCGATACTCATTCGTCGGTAATGATAAATTCCATGCGGTATTGTGGTATTAATTATCTTTCTGTATAAGCTTTGGCAAAGAAGATTTTTTTTTTTATATAAGACTCCCTTGCTTTGTATTGAATTTATTAGTAATGACGACTGATGCAAATGCTTTTTCTTGAACCTGAATAAAAGGCCAGCATTATCGTCTTATCCATAAATTTATTTGTTTCGCTGTGCATTACTGTTTTTGCCGGAGTAGACTTTAATAGACAGCAGCTAATGATCCCGCGTCCCTTGCTCGCCTCAGGTGTCCCAAGGATTCGCCATCCTGCGCCAGCACGTCCCCCAAGCCGCCCGCAAGAAGAAACTCAGCAAAGTGGAGACCCTTCGCTGCGCCGTGGAATACATCCGGAGTCTCCAGCTGCTCCTGGACGACCACCCTCTCCCGGCGCAGCCAGACACGGCCACCGGCTCCGCGGCGGCCGTCCACGCTCACCACCAGCAGCTGCATCACCAGGTGTTCCTGCAGCCTCACCACCACCACGCCTTAGAGCCGCATATCCTGAAGCTGCCGCTTGCGGACGAGACCTTCCAGTCTCCCAGCACGATGAGGTGGGTTGTCTGGCTCTGCTCCCCCCCTCCCTCTCTCTCTCACTCTCTATCTCTCTCTCGCTCTCTCTCTCTCTCTCTCTCTCTCTCTCTCTCTCTCTCTCTCTCTCTCTCTCTCTCTCTCTCTCTCTCTCTCTCTCTCTCTCTCTTCGCTCTCTCTCGCTCTCTCTCTCTCTCTCTCTCTCTCTCTCTCTCTCTCTCTCTCTCTCTCTCTCTCTCTCTCTCTCTCTCTCTCTCTCTCTCTCTCTCTCTCTCTCTCTCTCTCTCTCTCTCTCTCTCCTCTCTCCTCTCTCTCCTCTCTCTCTCTCTCTCTCTCTCTCTCTCTCTCCCTCTCTCTCTCTCTCTCTCTCCCTCCCTCCCTCCCCCCTATCTCTCTCTCCCTCTCCCCCTCTCTCTCTCTCTCTCTCTCTCTCTCTCTCTCTCTCTCTCTCTCTCTCTCTCTCTCTCTCTCTCTCTCTCTCTCTCATTCTCTCTCTCTCTCATTCTCTCTCCCTCATTCTCTCTCTCTCTCTCTCATCTCTCTCCTCATTCTCTCTCTCTCTCTCTCTCTCTCTCTCTCTCTCTCTCTCTCTCTCTCCACACACACAGTCTTTCCTGTTTTGTCGTTCGATAATTTATTTATTTGTCAAGTTTGTTTACATGCTTTGTTGGTCAAGTGCTCGGTCTGCATAATTAACTGACCGAGTGATATTTGGCTTTGGATCAATGCGTTCCCTGGCAGGCGACGGGGTGACTCACGCCCCGCAAGAGCCTCACCCGCCTCCTTCTTCCCCGCAGGTACGACGGCGCAGGAGGCGCCTTCTTGCGGGCTTCCCCGTCCGAGTCCGAGGGCAGTCCCTCGCACAGCCACTCCTTCTTCTCCGATAAATTCTCTCCGCCCACGTCGTCGCCGCTGCCCTTGGGTGTGGTTCCTGCAGTCGTCAAGACGGAGAGCGTGGAAGGCCGGTGCTACGGGCGTGAGGAACAGGACCTCTTAGAAGCCCTGGCATGGTGGCAGCACAATATATAGTGTTCCATGGTGCGAGGGCGTTCCTACAAGGCGTTAATCAAATCGCAGAATGGGTGCGATTCGTGTGTGTTAGTCAGTTTCAATTTTGTACATAGAGGTTATTTATACATCAGTATGAGGGTATGTTGGTTGTCGTATGAAAGTGAGGTGGACTTTGTACTCTATGAGGCTAAAAGCTCATTTCAAAAGTTTCCTGCCCCTTTTTTGTTCAATTTACAGGGAAAAAAACTGATTTCAAAAGTTGCTGGTGATCTCGAATGTATAGCTACGTAAGCAAGTAAGGCTGTGTTCCTGTGTACTTGTGTCCACATAGAGACATCGGGTGTGCGTGAAGGATTGGGTCCGGAGAGCACGAGGAATGTCACTGTATGTTTCCAAAGAGCCAAAAATGCGAATCTCTGAACTGATTCAAATTTGCATAATTAAGAAAGGGCGTGGAACATCGGAAGCCGGGGGGAGGTGGGGGCGGGGCTAGTCAACGGTTTGGCTTCGTTGATTCATTGTTGAAAAAGTTGTTGCAAATGCATAACAACTGGAATAGAAAGACTATCCATTTCTTGCCCACTCTAATCGTGTTTACAAAAGGGTGCATACTCTGAACCGGAATATCCATGGGCTCTTGTGAATATCCATATACCGCGAACAGTTGTAAAACTTACGTCTTGTATCTGAATGACTGCACGTGTACATTAATGTATGTATGTATGTATGAAGGTGTGCGTTAGATTAGCCAAGCATATTACTTGATCAAGAACCGCCAGCAGGACCTCCCTGAAGGACACGACGCCATCACAAGGGGTTCTCTTCGTCTCGCGAGAACCCGACGGGGTCTCCGGGGCGGGCGTGTCCTCAGGCAGCTATCTATTCTAGTCGACGTTGTTCAAGCGTGTAGTCGATGCGTAAATGTCGTTTTCACTCAGTTGAAGAACTATAACCTTCTGATGTTTGTGGTCGCTTGTATGTACTGTGTATATACATACGCCGCGTATATATATATATATATATATATATATATATATATATATATATATATATATATATATATATATATATATATATATATATATATATATGTATATATATGTATATATGTATATATGTATATATGTATATATATACATACATATACATATATATATATATATATATATATATATATATATATATATATATATATATATATATATATATATATGTATATATATATGTATATATATATGTGTGTATATATATATATATATATATATATATATATATATATATATATATATATATATATATATATATATACATGTATATATGTTCGTGTGTGTATATATATATATATATATATATATATATATATATATATATATATATATATATATATATATACATATATATATATATATATATATATATATATATATATATATAAATTTATATATATATATATATATATATATATATATATACATATATATATATATATATATATATATATATATATATATATATATATATATATATATGTACATACGTATATATATATACATGTACATGTATATATGTATGTATGTATTCGCAGACATACATATAAATTCAGTCATACCGTGTCAGTTAGCATTATGAATAATTATGATTAAATACTCGAGACAGTGAAATATCTGACTGTGCCTTCCAAATCAGTACCTTGCAAAAGTGCCTTGATTCTCTGTACAGAGTCAGTCATACACAAAGACCTTTGTCAGTAACATGTCATACTCATAGAGCTTAGGCAACGAAGGACTTGAGACCAGTGCCTCGATACAAACTGCATCTTCCGTTGCATAGCTCGCAGTGGAAGATTTTAGTATTTGTAACCGCTGTTACCGATCAATATTTATAAAATGGGATAAATAAACAATTATTACAATGACATTGTTCACTAAGTATTATATTAGTAAATCATATGTATTTTAGTTATGCAACTTTTGTACACATATTTTGCACTTTACATTCCAGTCTGAAAGAATGATATTTATGTAGTTCTATAGTTTCTTATAGGATGTAAAGCCTACATTGTATTATATTAATATTATTATTATTAAAGATGTTCTATTTAGTACCTTTGTTTTATTTTAGATATATACCTATGCCTTGCATCGTTAAAAGGAAAGGGCTGAAACATCTCCCAAATTACATCATTATCGTCTCCTTATTGATGCCGATCAGAGAGAGAAAAAGGACAGAGAAACTTACGCAACTAGAAGCAAATTGCCCTATTTATCGATATCAAGAAAAACCTAGAGCTTGCCCTAGCTTGCCCCCCACCCCGACCCATGTCTGTATTCCCGGCCATTAGCGATCGCTTTACAAAACCACTTATCATGAGGCAATTACTGATTATTAACTGATGACTTGAATGCGAAGTTCCGAGGACACTTTCTCTCTGATAATTTATGTGTCACCTGGTCGAGTGCGAATAAGAAAAATATGCTTGAGGTGCATGGAGACTGCGTTACGAAAGAGGAAGGAAGACAGAAAGAGAGATAACGGGAAATGTACACACGCAGACACGCACACACACACACACACACTCATGCGCGCGCACACACACACACACACTCACACACATACACACACACACACACACACACACACACACACACACACACACACACATATATATATATATATATATATATATATATATATATATATATATATATATATATATATATATATATTTATATATATATGTATGTATATATTTATATATATATATATATATATATATAGATAGATAGATAGATAGATAGATAGATAGATATAGATAGATATAGATATAGATATATATATATATATATATATATATATATATATATATATATATATATATATATATATATATATATATTACCAGAAAACAACCAAATTTCCTGACTCGTGGTTCGATCAGCCCATGAAATTATATGGAATGAACACGATTCATAGAAACTGTGCCTGGCATATATCATATCGAAGATTTGATCGGCGACGAACTGAGCCCAGGAACGAAAAAAGCCAGCCACGATTACCGTCTTCGGGTTCGCTCTGGCATTTTCGTTTCTTCTTTTAGTCTTTAGTTATCCATTTCCCTAATAATTTTCACTTCCTTCGTCCGACTTTTTTTCTTCTTGCTATTCGTTAAGTGTCTTCCTTTTACTATCAATCTCCCTTATTCTTCTTCCACTGTTATTTTCACACACACATATGCCCAACTGCACACACACACAAACACACACACACACAGACTCAAACACATACACACACACGCGCACACACAATCTCTCTCTCTCTCTCTCTCTCTCTCTCTCTCTCTCTCTCTCTCTCTCTCTCTCTCTCTCTCTCTCTCTCTCTCTCTCTCTCTCACTTATTCTTTTTCTCATTATTTTCACACACATATATCTATCTATCTATCTCTCACTCTTCCTTTCTCTCTCACACACAGACAGAAAAGATAGCTAGATGAATTAAGGGACAAGTTAGTAAGTGAATAGATTAGTTATCTAAGCAATAAATTTATCACAACTGAGCTAGAAGACAACTATGTGAAAAAAAGTCGATCCAAATCCCAATGGAGGTCGAGGAATAGATAAGAAATTATTAAGGAATAAATAAGAAAATCTCTTCGGATATAGACTACTCTCTGGCGTACATGAACAGAGCTGGAAAATTAGTCTGTGAATCAGTTACTCAGCATATTTGTTTACCATGCAAACAGTCTTCCTACTTTCGCGTATTTCGTAATTCCGCTCAACGGATCAGTGATGTGATTGAGGCCTCGGCATCAAACATGGATGAGAGAGAGTGGGGGGCGAGGCGGCGGCGGTGTTGTAATGCTCGGTCGAGGAGTGTGCGCCTGTGTGGGGCGTGGGGGTGGATACATTAATACGCGCGCACACGCACGCACACGCACACGCACACGCACACGCACACGCACACGAACACGCACACACACACACACACACACACACACACACACACACACACACACACACACACACACACACACACGCACACACACATATGTATATAAATATATATATATATATATATATATATATATATATATATATATATATATATATATATATATGTACATATATATGTATATATATAAATATATGTTTATTTGTGTATTTTCATGTATGCTTATGTTTGTGTACACTGCCGTGGCAACTTTTAGTGTGCATATGTACAGACTGTTTTTGCTATCATATCCCTTTGATACATTGATGTGTCTACTGATTTTTTTTTTAATATTTGTGTTCTCTTCATAAACATTTCAAACAAGTTAAGCACAATGCTGAGTATTTAGTTTTGGAATAATTAATTGCTCATCAATTTAATGCACCGTAAGTGAATTTTAATGACTATACATCTGTTCTCAGAAAATGAGCATCATTAAAGAACATAAATAGGCGGGAAGAGAAGGAATGACTTTGCTTGCGTCTCCTTTAAAGCACAAGAGGAGATTTGTTCGGTGATTTCTGCGTGGAGCGTGCTACCAAACCTTTGCTTAGTCTCGAAAATGTGTTTAGTTATAGCGAAGATGAATCAAAGTCATATACCATATCAGAGTGATTTTGTATTGATTTTTACTGTGCTTCTATTAGAGGCTGTAAGCATTTTCTTCTTTCTTTCGTTTTTTTGTGTGTGTGTCTGTGCGTGCAAGCATCCTTGACCCATCGACTAAAATTGAGCTTATGCATTTTCTAACAATTGGTCGGTAAAAAAAAAAAAACTTTGCTTTCATAAAAGAGGCAGCCGTGTCATTAACGTTTGCTTGGAGACGAATTACCAGCAATCCCTGCTTCTGGCGATGCTTGTCACATGTGTCGCCCCAGATGCAGCAGTCTTATAGCCCTGCTCCTTTCCCTTCTCCGGAAGATATGTTGATCTCTGCAATCTCCACAAAGCAGACTCGGTGACCCTTTCATTTAAACACCCCGATGAGAAAATCCCGATGAGAAACTAGTTATGTTTTGAACCCTCGCTCTCATGAATAATCTTTGATGACTGGCCTAATTCAATACAGAAAGTTTCAGCTTAAATGAGTAGAGTAGAAATTATAAAACAAACAGGAAGAATGGAGAGTCTTTGTCTT